TTAGGTAGTTTTATTTTGTCCAGAAGGCCCACTGTGGAAAGAGCATGAACTTTGAAGATAGAGGTGAGGTTCAGGTGGTGTCCCCACGGTTTTATTTTATTGCCTGTGTAATTTTGGCCAAATTACTTAAATTCCAAGAGCCTAAGTTTCTTTAACTGTAAAATACCTGGTAGAGATGTAGGGAGAATTAGAAATAATGTAGTAGAATAATTAACAAGTGCTTAGCACATTGTAGGTACGTAGTAATTGGTAGCTACTGTTGTCACCATTGCAGGGCTTCTGGTTGGTCTTGGAGGACTGAAGAAGCTGCCCAGAGCAGTGATCAAGAATATGGACTCTGGAATAAACTGCTTGGGTTCAAATCCTGGTTCTACCACTTGCCAGCTATGTGACTGCACAACTTAATTCCTTCCTGTACCTCAGTTTCCTCCAACATGGGTATAATAACAGTTCCTACTTCATAGGGATAAATGATTTTAAACAGACAAATAAATTAGCTGGGCATGGTGGCGCACAGCTATAGTCCTAGCTACTCAGGAGGCTGAGGCCGGAGGATCACTTGAGCCTAGGAATTTGAGGTTGCAGTGAGCTATGATCAGGCTACTGTACTCCAGCCTGGGTGACAAAGTGAGACCCTGTCTTTTAAAAAAGAAAAATATAGGAGAGACAAATGAGAATGGTTAAGAAGTTGAGTTAAAATGACCCCATTTTGGTCATCTGGCATCACTGTTTCTTTCTGTGATATATGAGCCTTCTTGAAATTTATAATAACATTTCTTCTTTCCTCCTGTCCAAATTGAGTTTCTCATTATTTGTATTTAATACCAATAGAAACATTTCCTATCTCATATTTTACTAGAAATACAGATTAAATCTTAAAAATTACTATTGCTACCTAAGAAATTGGATTAACTAAATCTATAAAGGATATATTTTTATATAGAAAATACTTAAGAATTTTTTGCTATAAAATCAGGTATAACAATTTTATCTTACAGGTGAAAATATAAAAAACATAACCAGCTTTTTGTTAAAAAAAAAATACCACTATTTCAAGGAAGTGATTTGACCCTCCTGCTTTAATCTTGAATTTGGCTGTTGCATGTGAATTATATTTTCCCCCCTTCAAGATGACAGCAATAAGGTGGGACTATAGTATATCAATCTACCAGGAAGAAAACAGTCTTTGAATTTACTGTACATCTAGAAATCAAATTTGACTTATACTCTTGGGCAGTGTGTGGTGGTGGCTGGGTTTGCATCATTATTCCGAAGTCCGTACTGATGTCCTGTGACTAATATGTTCCAGCTGTCTGGGTCACTGCTTTGGAGTACTATTTATTTGCAGTTGTGATGCTGCAAATAGGAAAAGCTTTCCCTTTTGTTGGTTGAAAGCTGTCCTGGTAATTAGCAAAACAAGCATGCCTCTCATTTGAAGAGAGATTGGAAAGGCGGCTAAAGAGTCAGTTGTACACAACCACTTTGGAAAACAATTTGGCATTACTTAGAGGAGTTGAACATGTGCAATCCCAAGCCCAGCTCTCCTCCTAGGTATATAGCCTGGAGAAACTCTTGCATGTGTACCAGGGGACAAGCACTAGCATGTAAATGGCAGCATTATTCAAAATAGCAAAAAACTGAAAAATCCCCAGAGAATCCTCCACAGTAGAATAGAGCCGTAAATTGTGGGTGTGTTCACACGACAAGAACTGTGTAGTGGTGAAAAAATGAATGAACTACAGTCACATGAGTCAACAGAGATGAATCTCAAAATCAAAATCTCAAAATCAAAATCTTCTCTTCCTCTTAAGAGAAGAGGCAAGTCTTAAAAACACATACAAAATGGTTTCATTTATATTAGGCTTAAACCCAGCAAACTGCAACAATACACTGATAATACATTATATGGCAAAACCATAGGAGTGAAGGAGTGATGAACTCAAAATTCAGGCTGACGGCGAATGTCTGTGGGGTGGTGGTGGTGATGAATGAGTTGGGGGTGTAGTCAGGAAGGACACGCAGGGCTTCCGAAAAAAGACAAAAAACAAATGCCAACTGGGTATTAGGTACATGGGATTTATTTCATTATTCTTTAAGCTGACACTATGTTATTATATTAGTTATCATCACATAACAAATTACCTCAAAACTTAGTGACTTAAAACAATAATACACATTTATTATCTCACACAGTTTCTGAGTGTGGGTCAGGAATTTGGGAGCAGCTTAGCTGGGTGGTTCTGACTTGGGGTCTCTTATGAGGTTGCGGTCAAGATGTCAACTGAAGCAGCTGCCCTCTCTCTGGGAGCTCGACTGGGGCTGAAGAATCTGCGCCCAGCATGGCTCAGGCACGTGGCCATTGCCAGGAGGCCTCCGTGCTTCACCACGTGTACCTCTGCAGAATTTCTTGAGTGTGTCCTTGGGTCCTAATAGCCATCTTCCCTTCCAAGACAGACAGAGATGGAAAGGCCACAGAGTCTTTGGACCTAGCCTTTGAAGTCTCACTCTGTCCTTTCAGCAGAACTGTGGTGGTTGCACATGCCAGCCCTATCCAGTGTGGGAGGGGACTGCACAAACTCTTGAGTACTCAGAGGCAGGGGTCATGGGGCCATCTTGGAGTCTGGCTATTACAGTTGGGTACCCTTAAATATACATTTCACAATATAAATCTTTTAGACACAAACTGAATTGGTAAGCTCATTTTCTTAGTAATGATGTAAGCATCCATTTAAATGAAAATTTTTGTAATTACTGAATGTATTACCAGTCAATATGGGGACAAATTTCAGTAACCAAGTAGCTGAGTGGCCTGAGCCTGCCTGACAGGAGTGTGCCTGAGGCAGGGGAGTGGTGGGAAGGGCCCTGAGGAAAGGGACCACAGTGATACTTGTACCGGGATAGATGCCTGGACTTTGTTCTGCCTGTACCCAGATCTGGCAAAAATCTGAAACTCTTGATTTTGAAGAGAATTCTCCAGACCAAGGGCTATTGTGATATTAAAATCCCTGCCAGCCGTATACTTTCTCCCAGGACCGTCTTTAATGAGAAAGGAGAGTGCTCCCCTTGCTCCCCACCACCACATCCAAGAGTGTGTCTGGAAGGACCTAGGCAAGTAAGGATAGGAGTTTTAGCTTAAAAGTTCATGCAATGACTGCATTCTCTATTATATATTTGTTTTAGTATTCACTTTTAAATTATTGTTTCATTTGCTTAACATTACCTCACCAAAATCTTTGAGTAAAATCGATGTTTCTGGAAGGTATGTCATGCTTTCCCCCTTAGTCCTCTGTAGCTCTTGGCACAACTTTCTAGTGAGTATTCCTGGGGACCCAAGTGCTCCAGTTTGTGAGTCAGTGAGTCATAGTGTCTCTCCTTTGTGGACTCCAACGTCCTGTGAACAGGTGTTCCAACCCTCAGGTGAGGAAGCAGCCAGGAGAGGTTCTCTCAATTTTTAATCAAGCTAACAAATGGAGGAGGCAAGCCTAAAGGTCAGGAGCAGGGGGTCCCTGACTGGCTTTCCTCAGGCTTTTGTATGCCAGTACTTGCCCTGTTACTCATGGATACATCTAACCCTGCATGTGTACAATTTTGGTGACTAGCAGATAAAGAGCCACTTTAGGCCATCACAGACATCACATTCTCCCCAGCTACAGTTTCGATGCTCCTTCCATCTTTATTGGTGGAGCTGTGTGTGTGCCATTATATCCTAGTGTATTTTGCATTTTATAGAAATGAAAGGAAAATCCTCAACAGCAAGCAATAGCTGCTCTTTGTTAGGGCAAGGATAAAAATCACCAGGGGTGTAATGTGATGTTTATTTTACTTCAGTTTGCCAACAGTGTGCTTTTTTGAGGAAGAAGGGAGAAGTGAAGTATGTATATATAAAATGCCAAAAATACAGTAAGGATTATTATGTCTACAAGAGAAGTATAATTACTAATAGTAATTATAGTAATTGGTAATAACGATTATAGTATTAATGGCACTATTAAGAATGATTATGAATATATACTTTGAGGGAACAAACTGAATTGCAGCACCCACCCCCTTCATGTGAATGTGTCATTTGGCTGTTTGGCTCTGGGGTTGGTTTTAAGGAAAGCATCATGTTGGGAGGGTAGGAGGGTGGGGACGTCTGGTACAGGGAAATAAGCCCTGAGCCTGGGGTTGGAAGACAAGTAGGAGTTTCGTCTCTGGTGTTTCCTAGTTGAATATTCTTGTCATACATCATCTCTGACACCTAGCTGCCTTCTCTGGAAAATGGGATCAGTAAGCTCTGCTTATCTCACAGGGCTGTGGGGAGGATCAAACATAATGCCAAAGTGGAAGGTATGTGATAGCCATAGGAATATGACTTTTAGACCACGATGCCACTTTGCTGTAGAGCACATATGTGTTGTAGTCCAGTGTACTATAGATTAGATCTGATTACCTTTGCCTGGAAGGACTTGAGGTTTGGCACTTGTGGTGTGGTTCCAAGAGTGTACATGGATACCTTCTAAGTGTCCTCTCAGAAAGCCAAGGTCAGAGTGCAGCTCAACTCATGGAAGCTCCAGTTTTTATTTGAGTGGATATTTGGGCTAATTCACTGCCCTGAAATTGCTGTGAATTAAGAGAAAGTTACTGAGGCAAACCTTGAGCCGTAAGATGAAGACCTATATTACGTATACATATATCAAACCATCATGTTATACACCCTAAATAAAACAATTTTTGTTTGTTAATCATACCTCAATAAAGCTGGAAAAAAAAATAGAAACTTCCTGAGGGGTTCTTTTGTTCCAGAAGTTTCTAGAGTGGGTGGGCTGACAGTTGTTCCCAGCTTTCAATATGCGATGGGGGATGATTTTTTTTTTCACTTTTTTCCTTGTTAAAAAAATTGTTATAGCAATATTTTAATTTAGAAGCTTGTCATAGATTAAGCACATTTTCTCAACTGAAATGGCATTAACTTAATAAAAATTCTTGGTGATAACATGTTGTTTTGCTTATTCTTGCAGGGTGAAGGCAGCATGAACGGTCCCTGGATGTGCCTTTGGGCATATTTAGCCATTTGTTTTTGATTAGGAGAAGGAAGAAGGCCATCACTTGGAAGGTGAGTAAAGATTTCTATGCAGCTTTTTGTTATAAAAAATTTTCAAACTTACTGAAGAGTTAAAAAAATGTACAGTAGCTCCTATATATCCACTACCTAGATTTAACAGTTGTTAGCATTTTGCCACATTTTGTGTTTGTAGGTAGGTTTGTACATTTTTTTCTGAAACATGCGAAAGTAAGTTGCAGACATCATGATATTTTTTCCTAGATTCTTAAAAATAAGGATATTCTCCCCTAATTAAACAGTTACACTTTTCTATTAAAGAGTGTAACTTTGACTTACGCTCCCTTCATAGTTGATGGAAATAAAGTCATACTAAAAAAATTTTTAAACAGTGATTTATTTTGTGGATAGATAAGCAATATGAATTAGTTTGATATGAGAAACTTCTGAATATAAAGGCATGGAATTTGCACTACACATGTGCCCTAAGAGGGAGGAATTAACTGTGCTTCCTTCATTCCCTCCCCCTCTCCTTCCCCATGGTTGATGTTTTATGGTTAGGTTAGTGGATCTGACTACCACCTTTGCCTTCTTCCTGATCAGCATTCAGAAATAGCCCAATATCTGTGCTCTAATGTGATCAAGGGTCTTAATTGATTTTTAAAACCTAATCTTGTAGAAGAATGTGGAAAAGAATATGAGTGGTAATAGGAAGTTGAAGTTAATATATTAAAGTCAACATTAGAGAGATTAAAAATGATTTCCAGCCCCGTAATTTGACTACTAGAATTGAAACTTTATATAAAATCTCAAAGATGTGTTCAGCTGTGATTATAGTTGTAGGTCATTACACATGATAGCCAATTACACAATCAGTTATCTGTGATTCTTGTAGGGTGGCTGGCTACTGACTGTTCTATGTTCCAATCTCAGTTACAATTTATTTACGGTATCTTCCTCATGTGGTCCCTGTGTATCTAAGCATTTTTTTTTATAGATGTTTATGAATGAGAGCTGTCCATTTAGGATATATTTTAAAAGAAGTCTATTTAAGCAAGCCATAGAAAGGAGCAGTGGCTTCTTAAACTCTCATTTCTGATTTAGAACGAAAGGTTAGTGATGGTAGTAAAGGTTCTTTGAAAAACACTGACATTCAGAAGGAGCTGTGTTTGGAATCATAGGTAGCTCTGAATGGTCTAGTTTGCTTTTTTGCTCTTTGGCCTCTGTTCATGCTTTGAAAAGATGAGAAAGGTGAAAGGGGCTTTGAAGGATGAATGAAGGGAAGGCATATGCAGCCCTGACTAGCCCTAGACCACTTAGATACAGGTAATTTTTTATAACTTTCTATTTAAGTGAAACATACATGACAGAAAATACATGTAAAGTGTTTAGTTCGATATAATTCACAAACTGAATACATCTAGGTCACCAGCACCCAGATTAAGAAACGGAACATTGCCAACACAGTCTCATGCCTTCTTCTAAGGCACTGCAGTTGACTTTTGAACAATTCAGGGGTTCCTCCATGCAATTGAGTACGACTTTCACTCCCTCGAAACTTATCTAATAGCCTACTATTGACTAGAAGCTTTACTGATAACATAGTCAACACATATCTACATATATTTTGTGCATTCATGATATACCTATTTTTTATTAATTTTTTCTGTATTTCTAGGCTATGTGGTTTGTCCGAGTTTTTTCAAATTGTTGCAAATCTCCAGAAAATTTTCCAATGTATTTATTGAAAGATATCTTCATATAAGTGGTCCCTCACAATTCAACCCTATGTTGTTCAAAGGTCAACTGTATCCTGTTCTGTGGATGACTGCTGTCTTGACTTCTAGCATCATAAATTAGTTTTGCCTGTTTCTTTGTGTGTGTGCGTGCGTGCGTGTGTGCGTTATGTAATATATAATGCAAATTGTACTTTTTTGTGTCTGGCTTCTCTCATTCGATAATGTATTAGAGATTCCTCTATGTTGTTACATACAGTTATAGGTTATTCATCTTCATTGCCATAGAGCATTCCATTGTGTCAATATGACTATTTATTTATTCTACTAGATGTGAGTAATTTTTTGGGTTTACCCATCCAGGGCACCCTCCACCAGAAATAGCGATTAAATAAGTTTTATGGTTACAGTGGAGGTAGTCCCAGGTCATGCCCAACTTCTGCTGTGATGTGAAGAAGGGATCCAGACGGGAGATAGAAGATTGAGACACAGTTGGGAGCTATGTGTGTGGTTTCTTCAATCCTGTAATAATTCCTGCTGCTCTTCCTATGACTGACCATGTCCCTTTTCACTTTGTTCCCTGCTGGCACGTTTTCTATATCCTCTTCTCTGCCATGACCGTGCAAACGACAGGCAGTCAATGAATATTTAAAGTTCATTAGGTGTTGATATTATTAATAAGTGTTAGGTGAGGAGCAAAGAATTGCAAGCTGTGAGCTTGCTCTTGAGGGGCCTGTGTTGTAGTTATGGATTCACAGGTCTGGACATGGGCCACATCCCTGGAGGCCACTTGTACTGTAGAATTCAGGGATGTACATTCAAATGCTTATGTGGGCCAGGCTGTATCATGACTGAAATTAACTCAGTAAGGAGTGGTGGGCACTGTGGAGAATGAGTACGTAGCCCCTGCCCAAATTTTGACCCAGTAAAACTTGTCTGGCTAGACTCAGCAAGTCTGCCAATTTCCAAACTTTAGGTGTTCTTCAGGAGATTTGGATGTTTTTATGGGCAAATTCTTTTTTCGTAAATAAAGTTTTATTCAAAACCAATCATGCTCATTTGTTTACATATCATGCTGTAACAGCAGAGTTGAATAGTTGCAAAAGAAACTTGGGTTGAGTCGTTACAACAGTTACCATTTGGCCCACAAAGCCTAAATTATTTACCATTTGTCCCTTTACAAAAAAGTTTACCAACTCCTGCTTTGCTTCATAAAAGCAAGGACATAGTAATCATAACCTTTATAGTCATGTAATAATCTGACTTCACTAAATTTAGTGTTAATGTTTTCATTAATCCAACAAATATTTACAGAGTGCTCATTGTATTTCAGGCATAAAATGGTGATAATCAGATATGGTTCTTGTTCTTGTGGGATTTAAAAGAGGCTCCTATGAACTTGACTTTCCATTGTAGAATTGTGCTTTCTATAAATCAAAAGTGTAATGTGGAAACAGAATTGCCCAATCCTCAATTTAAAACTAATATGTTGGCTGCCTTTATTAACCATGTAATGTAATGGTTACTTCGGTATGAGAAGTATGCAGTGTGACATATGCACAAATTACTGCAGTTTTAAAGGTCCTAACTGTTTAGGTGTGGTAACACCAAAGTGTTTGAAGGCAGCCACATCTGAAGAAGGGCCAGTGAGCTTTGAAGTGTTTAACAGACCAAGCCGAGCAGACAGCCAATCTTATGCTACTGTAATCAAGCTCAACAGAAACGACAGCAAACCAAGATAATAGAGTTTGGAATGTAGTAGAACAAATGAATCTCTCTCTGTTGGTATGCTTATCTGTTTGCTTATTCGAAGTTGTAAAAGTTTGTTTCTTAATAGGAGGCTATAGGGGCATTGTAGTAAACATAGAAAATACAGTTGTTTTTACATTTCTTTAGAAAATCTGAAACTTGTTTTTAACGTCTTTTTAACCCAGTTAGCATTTTCATATGTGCTCATGTATGTTTTATGGGTGGACACTTGGGCTGGGAGTAAACTGCTCATTCACCACCCTGACAGTACTCAGACTAATACAAAGGAAACACAGTCAGTTGTATCATTGAGCCATCAGAAGCCACAATGGCTGGATTTGCCTTCTTTCAGACTGAGAGGTCTTTTAGGAAGTGAGATTGAATGTTGGGTGTTGTAGTTGCAGTTGTTTAGCTGTGTGCAATAATTCAAAGACGTGAAAGTTCAGGAAGCCCTGGTCGTGTTTATACGTGGACTCAGGAGCTATTGGACATCAAAGGTAGTGCTAATTGCCACCTTTTGAGGCAGTGATCTAGGTGACTAACAGTGCTTTCTTCTGAAATGTTAGGCTCCTGGAGAAACCACAGACAAGGAATGTTAGCTGGTATAATGACTAGTTTAATGAATGTAATTAAAACTCCAAACTGGTTTGTTTTATTGCCAAAATTAATAAAGTTAAGGTGTAGTTGATTTTCTTTAGGAGGAGGAAGAAATGATTTATATCCATTCATGTCTCGTACTTCCTGGGTTTGAAATGTCTTAAAAAATTCAATCCTGTTCTTCATTTTAGTAATTCTATATAGTTTAGATTTAGAGGGAAAATGAGAATTGAGAAGACTGAGAAAATAAATATCATAGTTGTTTTCCTTAGAAAGTTGGAAACCGGAGGCCTAACTCCTTGGGTTAAAAATAAAGTTTTCTGAACCAACTTTGATGATAGGCCAAATCACTTGTTCCGTGGCATGAGGAAAAAAATGGATCTTCTGTTCTACGTAATATGGAGTCATCTTGTCAAGAACTCCAGCCTCAGGAGTGTTGATTTGATAAGACTAACTAATTGAAATTTATTTTTTCAGTCTCTCAAGCTGTATTTTCAGAAAGGGGAAAAGTACTGAAGTGCAGATAAATATAGCTTGATAGAACAAAAAGTGTCTTAGAATATTAGGGTGATTCTCCTGGTTGCAAGTGACAGAAAATCCAATTCAAACTATCTTAAGTGAAAAAATATATGGACTTAAGTAATTGCAAGTCTTGGTGTGGATCTGTGTTCAGGAGGGGCTAGATTGGGGATCCAAATAAGGTCACGAGGGTCCCTCTTGGCACATGTTCTTGGGCTTCGGATGGAGACTTCCAGCAGCTTCAGGTGCACATCATTGTGGTGATCATTAAGATTCTGCTCAGACAACATGTGCCTGGGTGCTGGACCAGTCACTGTGGCCAGGGACATTGGCCTGTTCTGATTGGATTGCCAGGTCACCCCAGAGCCTGAGGTTAGCACATCTTCAGCTGAAGATGAAGCATTAAGTTGAAGACAGGTGGAATTGGTTCTCTCCAGAGGGAAATCAGGATAC